GATGTGTTTAATGTGCCATTTTGGTGCGAGCTTAACTAATGTGTTCTAACATTGATGTTTGTTCTGCAGTTGAGATGGACGAGTTCGTTGGTGCTGCTGGGGGCTTGCGCATCCCCAAGAAGCCAAGGAAGAAGTCAAAGACTTCAACTGTGGCTGAGAAAGGGGTGACAGAGGGAGGGTTACTGTCCAGCACTTCTGCTCGGGCTGTGGAGGTGCAGCCAAGGCCGGAGCATACGACGGGAGGAAGTGAGGACGTAAGTGAGGAGATGGCCCCTCTCTAGAGGAAGAGGAGGAGGGTGGCAGAGCTAGAAACCCGGGGGGACGAGGTGGTGGAGTTCGTGCCCCGGTCTTCTTCTCCGGAAGTTAATCCTGAAGAGAGGGAGAGGGGCGAGGTCGAAGTGCGAGACCTTGGTGGGGGCAGGGAGCGCACCCCTCCGCACGTGTGCCAGAAAAGTTTGTTTGAGGCGACAAACAAGACTGGGGCGAAGCACTTCCTCAACGCTACCCTTCCTGAGGTGGATAGGGTGCGGGCGAAGGACGAGGTGGTTAGCCATGCAAGGTATACCATTGTGAGGCATGCCCTGGAGGTATGTGAAATAATTAGATTGTACTCCGATTGTATATTTGAGTTGTGTGTCTTGTGCGTGATGTCTGACTTCTGATTGCATTGTAGAGTGCGAGCTGGACAAACGCTCTAGCGCAGGAGTATGCAGAGAGCGTTAGAGACCGTGCCAGCTTGCAAAGGCAGTGTGACCAGCTCCAGAGGGAGAAGGATAAGCTGCAGAAGGGGAAGGTGGAATGGGAGAAGCAGAAGAAGGAGATGCAGAGGAGGCTGGATGAAGTTCTCCCTTCAGTGACCGAGCTCCAGAACGAAAATGATGTCCTGAGCACGAAGCTCGGCCTCGAAGAACGTAAAAGGAAGATCTGCGAGGAGAAGCTCGAGGCTCAGGACAAATATATGGACAAGATGAGGAGCGCAGCCGCGGAGCTGAAGAAGAACGTGAACCTGCTGGTTCACAACGGGATGGAGGAGCACATTGGCAACTTCCTCAACTCCAGCACTTTCGAGGACATCCTCAAACTCTACCGGCTGCCAACCGCGATCGTGGCCTTCACTGACTGTAGAAAGAAAGTGAAGGCTTAGTACCCAGAGGTGGACGTGACAACAGTCACCTTTGGGGAACAAGAAGAAGGGGTGGAGGAAGATGGGGAGAGCCTCTGTGCTGACTTCTGACCTCAAATCACGCTGAGGTGGGAGCGTGATGCAGAGGGGCGCACCATCTTTCCCCCAGCGTTTGACGCTGAGTTGGTGGCCGTGGAGGGAGAAGAAGAAGAAGAAGAAGAAGAAGAAGGTGCGCAAGGCACTGGAGTTGAGGGTC